CCCTGGCCATTCATGTTAGATGCTGTCAGGACAGGTRGCACTGGCCTGGCTTCAGAGTCTCCTGTCAAGCACAGCAATAGATGGAGGTTTCCAGATTTTTCATTGTGAGAACAATTACCCAGTATACACCTGATAATTAACTGTATAAGATCCCACATAAATAACATATATTGTGTTTTTGTTGCATATGCTGGGCCAAGCCCACAGTCCTCAGGGCAAGGGGCATGCCTTTCATGCTTCCATGCTGGGGGATTGCAGAAGTGGTCTTGGGAGAATGAAATCAGCTCTTGCCAAGTGTCAGCCCAAAGCCCACATGCGGTGTTTATGCCGGAGTTACTAGAAAAAACCGATACCCTGGAGTGCAGATCCCATGGCTTTTCACCTGCCTTATGCCTTCTGTCACTCACCAACATCTGCCTTCAGTAGAGCAAAGCAGATGTGTTTTCTGTTTCCTTTGATGCAAACTCTGCAAGTCTCTATGTAACACCAGTATGGAATGCTGACACTCAGAGAATTCAGAAATCAGTGCCTTCATGTCTAGACAAATATCTGGTAAGGTGTTGTTTTTGAGATAATTTTAAACTTAAATTTTGGCAGAACAGTGCTAATTGAGTACTTTTATATTTTCATCTTTGTTGGATGCAAATTTTAATAAAAGGATCAGATTCCCGAGGAGGATGACAGTCAGATATGTGGACTTGGAGAAGCAGCCCTGCAGATTGTATCTGTGCTCCATGGAATGTTTTCCAGTGTGCTGAGTCTGCTTTGAACTGCTCTGACAATGCTTACAATCTAACTTGAAATACATAAAAATTGTTCCGATGATAGTTGTGAAAAGGCTCATGAAAATTAGTTCTGAAGCCTGTGGGTTAAATCCCCTCACTTCCTTCACAATGAACTGCTTCCTTTTCCCAGTATTTCTAACCCCAAGAAGAATCCCACTGAGATACAAAGATGTGAGTTCTCTTTATTTAAAAAGATGAGATGACTGTCTAAATTTTGGAAGTTTTTTTTGTGACTCTATTTGTGGGGTTTTTTTTCCCTACAAGTTACTATCTATTATCTCCCTTTGCTCCCTTTTTCTCCCCTCTTCCCTTTCTAATGTTCTTTTCCTCCTGCAGTGAGGTTCCAGATGTGCATGAAGCTGTAAAGGAAAACTTTTCACAGTGTTCTGACTCTTCACCTGTCTCCAGTGCCATTTCCGCATCTGAGAGGCCTCTCGCCTGCTCTAGAGCAAAGAGCTTTTCTAGCAACTCCTCTTCTGTGCYTGACTCATCTGTCTCTCATCATAATTCTGTCCTTTCATCACCATCTTCACCTGCAACAGCATTGCTGAGTTCTCCCCAGAATTCCTCAGCATCCATTACTCCAAAGGCATCTCCGACAGTGGAGAAATTACCTTATGTACCACATTCTCCTTTTCACCTCTTCTCGTATGACTTTGAAGAGTCTCCAGCAACTGTGAAAGAGAAGGAAGCAGAAATGATGAGGGAAAACAGGTAGATTTTATAAGCTGGCATTAATTTTTAGATAAATGAATAACATATTTCAAGAATTTTACAGTGGTTAAAAATGCTGCTCTATGTTTTATTACTTCCAGAACATACTGTATTAGTTTTAGCCTTGTAAGCCTGTATTTTGATTTGATATTTTCCCCTTGCCTTTGTTATCTGAATTTCATCTTACTCTTCTTCCAGGTCCGTAATTAATAAGAATCCTGGCCTTCCCTATAGATCAGTGGATAAATAACGCTTGATTTGGGAGATCACAGAAAGGAGCACCATTTTGTTCTCTTGTACAACAGTGTAATTTGCAGACATGATTTCATGAAAATTAATGGAGCTCTTCTGCTCTAAAACCAAGAGAGGTCAGATCAGCASTTGAAATTCAGGGGTGAAGTCCTGGCTTCAAAGGCTGAACTGCCAAATGCTAAATTTGTTGTTTGATTACAGTGCATGTCTGTCTCATGTGCAGTTTCATCTCATGCTTGTAATATGGATCTGTAGAGATAACTTAGCACTCAAAATAGACAGTTTTATCTCCACAACATCTGCTGAGTCTGGTTGTTTCTCATGTATTTCTCTTGCTCTTTAGTTTTAATTTCCCCAACCACCCATTTAAAATTTTTAAAAAATTGTTTCATCTCAGTCTGTTTTCAGGTAAAACATTGACAGTAAGTAGCACTAAAAGCAATGATAATCACCTTGAAAAGAGGTTGATGATTTTTTTGCTGTCTCTCACAGTAGTCATTGTTYTTGGAATTAGGCTGCAAGTGTACATTTGTATTGTATGCATATTTATTTCTTCCTCTTTCCAGCAGTCCCGAATTTCTGCATGTGAACAAATGTTTTGATTCCYTTAATCCTTTTAATTTTTGATCTTTCTCTTCCAATAGGTGGGTGTGTTTTGTCACTTTTTCATTTTGCTGAAAGGCCTGTCAATCCGAGTAGTTGTTGACAAGCGACTTAGTTCACATATTTTTCTTTTACCTGCAAATTGAACACTGGAATTCTTCTTAATTTACATTTTCCTTAATAGGTGCATTTTTCCCTTAGACCTCTCACACTCATTTATGGGTCTCCCATTGCTGTTGATGCTGCTGTTATACTTTAGAGAGTAGATTTCTAAATACCTCCTGTTCCTGCAATATTTAGTATTTCTGCAGTGATTTTTTTTTTCTTCTGACCTTCTTTTCTGTTTCTAGCTACTGCACAGGATCATGGGTTTGGTGTGGGGGTGGGGATTCTTCTGGATTTATGAGAAGGAAAATGAGGGCAAAGCTTGCACAATTCAGTCAATACTGTGCCCATAAAAGAGGCAAATTTCTTGGGGACGAAGGCTCCTGGGTAAGACTATTGCATCTACATTGGTGTATATGAGACAAGAAGGAAAAATGGAAATAGCCAGTACCAGAGAAGGTTAAAAAGATGAACTTTGTGTACAGAATAAAGACTTACCCTGGTGTTCTGGGTTTGCCTTGCTACTATTCTAGCATTTCAGTGTCCCTCTAAATTTGACACATAGGGATGTTCTATCCAGACCGGTCCCTCWGAATTTGATTTTTTTAATAGTTGAAGGTCTAAGTCCATAGGAGGTGCATTCCCTCCATTTCYATGAGGGTTACCTTTGGACTAATTGAAATTCCTTGTTCTGAGAAAGGGTTCTGCACAATGTCAGCTCTTTCATGGGACAGAGGAGAAGAAAAACACATGTAATGGTTGATAAGAAGCTCTCCTTGCAGCTGATCAAAATGGAAATGGAGGTCTCTGTGTCAGGAATGTACCAAATGAGCTCTGAGTTCTTATCAGGACAATGGAGTTTTCTCATCACTCACTCAACACAGGCACAGTCAGAATATTTTCTGGGCTGAGCCTGTCGGAGAGAAGACCCAAGCTAGGTCTGTGCTACCTGGAAAGCTCCACACTGTCCAGTTACACAGCCTCAGCAGACCACTGTCTCCAGTTTCTAGTTTGTGTTCTTCTAGGGCAAGAAGACGCTGAAGGCAATTATTTCCTACAAAATTTCTTTTGTTGCTCAGAAACATGCATGTTAGAATTTTTTTCCAAAATTAATGCCCTGCTGCTGGATTAGTAYTGTGTCTCAAAAACRGATGAGGGAGGGGGGTGTTTTCTAAAGCATAAACCTTGAATTGTTGTCCAAGAGGACATGTTCTCTAAAGCATGATCCTTTCCATTATAAAAGCACCTAGCTGAAATCTGTTCTGGTTTTAACATGGACCTTGGCAGGCAGCAATGATGATGAACCCTAAGGAATAAGGCTTGAAACTTTGAATGAAATTTTGCATAGCTRGACGAGTATGCTAAATGGAGCTGAAGGCAACCAACCGGCCTTTTCAAATAAAATTGCTGAGTGAAATTACTGAGTGCTGATGTGTGCGAGGGAAGAAGCAGCAGGGAAAAGATATGTTGAAGGAGGTTGTATTATATCTTATGAATTATAATAAGGAAAATTGATGTTGTTCTATTTCCTGAAATGAATTTTGTCATTTGGACGAGTTGGCCTTGCAGAGTACTGATCTTCAGAGCACCATATGCTTTCCATGTGGGAAAATGTCAATGTCTGTGAACAATATTAGAGAGAGAAATACTAACATTTTCCCAAATCAGGAATCTTTTCTTGACATGCTGTTTAAGGACTATGGTTTAAAGGCACAGCAAAGCAACACAACTGCCTTTTCTATTCAGTACAGGAGCCAGGAAGAAAACATTGATAGAAGGGACTCTGGGGAGGTGGCCGTTCCAGGAGTCCTGGAAACAATTTCTCTTTGATCAGCAAGCTCACATTGAAGTGAAGCGAGTTTATGGGGGTTTTTAATGGAGAGAAGGGCTGATAGAAATTTCTAAAGCCGTGCTTCCGGAGACATGTCTTTTTAACCATGGTGATGATTTTTTACAGACATTGTACAAAATGGCACATAAGCTATTACTTATGTTGGGGGAGGAGAAAGAAAATACTGCCGGCTTTAACTGAAAAGAATTTGGTTGYTTTCCATTTAAAATGCAAGCATTTGCAAGTCATGGATGTCCACGTTCAKATCATGCCTCAGGAGCGCAGCTTTTTTCCTTAATTTTAATAGATATGAATACTGCTGTCTTGGGCTGGTTAGATCCCTTTTCTAATGGCTGGATGTCAGCTCCCAAAACAGCTAATAATTCTGAGTGACTGAGCAGTAATTCAAGTATTCCCATTCTGCGTTGTCACTTGGGAGGACCATTCGAATCTCTCATTATTTCCTTACCAATAGCTCACTGTTTGCATCATGTATGTTCATGCCATGGTTGACATTTAAGAGTACATGATTGGTTGCTTATTTGAAAGCTGGAAATAGAGCAACATTTTCAGAAGTTGAATGTTTGAGAAGCTCTGGGGTATGGGATCACCACAACCCAGTAATAGAGGATTTACTGTTGCAGGCCTATTTGCTGATGGATTTTTTTTCTGTCTTTCCCTTTCTTCTGCTTTTCTTCCCATTCCTTCAGATACAATAGCTATGGCAGCAGCTCTTACTCTTCKCCAAGACCTTATGCTGGTGTGAGTGCCCCTACAACACCCACCACCCGTTATGGGACAACTCTCTCACCGCCTCAGGAGACCAAATCTGACAGGTTTGTAAATTAATCAGTGTTTTGACAGTTATTCCATTGTAGACAGGATGAAGGAGATAAATATAAGCTGTTCTGAATGAGTACTGGAAATAGCTTCTAGCCAGATTTTTTTTCTAATGTCGGAAAGAAAATGGATAAAAATCTAAATGGGTTCATTTCCCATTCATTTTCAAACCTTTCTGTCTGGCTYGGTGTAAAAGTCTGGGTGTATTTCCATTCCACTTCTGTTTCTTTTACTTAAATTGATAAAGCAGAATTGCTTCACACATATGCTATTATAAGTGTTAAAAGGTGAATTAAAACACATTTTTTTCTTTCCATTTTTAAAAATCAGATCTATTTTCACTTCTATCATCTTAAATCAACTGCAAAATCTTGGAAATGTGCTTAGTTCAGAATTTCCTAGGCCATAATTTTGTTCTCTCTTGAATACGTGATATATCTCATTATATTTCATCRAAAGCAAAACATTTCTTGCTGTAGCTAAAGCTAACTCCTAATAACCTACCAGATATCAGCTTGCTTTAAAAAATATTGGAAGGGGGGGAAAACCCCAAAGCAGCAACAAAAAAAAAAAAGAACATTCAAAATACTCTTTTGAATTATGTACTAGGGGAAAAGAAAAGATAGGAAAATGTTAGGGATACATGAAAGAAATTCTTGGCAAGAGATTTAGACCACCAGAAATTAACTGTCTGTTACAACCTGAGAGTAAATGACAGCTTCAAAGGATGCTTATCCTTTAAGAAGGAATGTAGAAGTTTTTAATTCATTTAACACAATAATTTAATACAGTAATTAAATTAAATAATATCCAATTAGGCCAGATGGGGTTTGGATTGATTTTTTTCCAAACTGGCCTCTAATTCATAAAAATTGCATCTCCCACCCTGTTTTCTGGACTGAAGGTTTTTTACAGGATCTTTTGTCTGTATTCCAGTTAATTTTCGTTAATGATTTTTTGGCAGATTTCTATGAGTGTATGTGTGTTTATGTGTGTATATATCTGTTTGAACTTTCCTAATGCCTCACCTTCTTTCCAGGCAACTACTCGGAATGCTTCAAGTTAGGTTCTTCTAGCACACATGTATTTCTAGCCATGAGGTATTGATTTAATCCTTCTTTTCAAGTGAATAATTACATTAAGCTTCTCTTTGGAGAAAGGGATTGKTTTTCATTTGCTCATCTTCCTAGAGTACCTTGCCTCGATTTGCCTTTCCTGATCTCAGTTAAATTATTACGAGTGAAATCATAGCAAAAAACTCTATACCAGCGTTTTCACCCCCTTTCTACCTCAGCAAAATAGATGCAAGATAAGCAAGAGTTAAAAGTATCCTACTGCTTTGGAAGTTTAAGATTTCCAAGCCCCTGCTCTTGTAAGCTTCTGATTGCTACTGTGGCAAAGAAACCCCAAAGTGGTCAAACGTTGAGATGGCTAAAGATGGTTGGGCTTGTCCTGCAGGAGGCTGATGGCGCTGGCCCTGCTCCAGTGAGGAAAGCCAGCTTTCATTTCAGCATGTGCATAAGTGCCTTGCTGGTTTGGAGCCAAAATGCCTTGGCCCCACAGGATGAAGCTGKAAAATTTGCAGATTCATGGAGAGTCAGGCCAGAGGGGAGCTCTGCAATCATCTGTTGTGACCTGTAATGGGTCTCACAGAAGCTAAACGAAAGACCCCTGTACTCTCAGTGTTTTCAAGTGGCAGCACAGGATTTCTTCTGGAAAGCATTCCAATATTAATCTTCCCTGCTAGGAAAATATTTTATATTTTGAGGCCAGTTTTTCTAGCAGCATCTTCCAGCCATCACACCTCATCTTTCTTTTTTCTGTGAAACTGTAAAGTGCTCTACCTTCAGCTGTCAGATCTCTCTTACATGTTCTAAGTGACTGAACACAGTGCTCGGAGTCTCATCTCTGTCTTTCCTTCAGGTTTGCTGCTTTCCACCTCACATGATAAAAATCTCTGTATTCCTGTTTACATTTGCAGCTTGCTGTTCATGGTAGTTCATGAACTCACCAGGGTTTCTGCATTTTTACATTTAAGGGATGTTGCAACCTGATGYTTCTTGTATATGAGTCTCTGAGAAGTGTGAAAAATGTGTGTAAACCACGGCTGTGTGTTGCCTGCGGAATAGATGCAGTCATTTCTCGAAATATAGTCATTTCTCGAAATAGTCATTTCTCGAAAGATAATTAAGTTTATGGTTTCTGCTGCCATTTTCCATTATCTTGTTCTTTTTGAGAGTGCTGCTACTGCAGATGTTTGGTTCTGCAAGCTCTAAGGAAGTGACTGCTTTGAGGAAGGGCAGAAGCCTTCTTTTATTTCATTGTCCTGAAAGGTATGCATTGCAGAAATGCCCATGTAGAGATTGACAAATAGAACTTAAGTGCTTATTGGAGTAGGCTCTGCAGTGCATGATGCAATGCTTGGCACTAATTAGTTAATGGAAAGTACTGTGGAAATTTTCACAGTCCTCTATGAATGGTGTTTGCCTTAGATTGTGTAAACATTATTTCCTACCTCCTGATGGTAAAAATTTACACGGATTCAAACATCCAAAAAAAGTTAAAATATGAAGGAGGGAAGAGGAAGACACTTGATAAGAAGCAGATGCGTATCTATGGTTAGCTCTAAGGTGAGTTTTCTGGTTTCAGCTTATGACTACAGTTATGCAAAGCCTTTACAGAAAGATTCCTGTCTTTTATCATGCAGGGAAGAGRTTCAGATGCAGTTCTTGGTACCATTTATCTGGCCTTCGAGAATGAGGAGGAAGGAAGAAGCGGCATTTAGAGCAGTGCCCAGCACAATGATTCATGCTCCATTCAGTTGCCCTGACAGGCCTTTCAAACCCTTGGCTGCATATTRCTTGTCTAAACAAGAGCTACAGCTTAGGTCGAAAGAAGCAGTGTGGTTGACATTTTGAAATTCATATTTTTAAAACCCTCTTTGATTGAAATCAGTGGGGAATCATAAGAGCAGTATAAGTCAGTGCAAAAGTAGCTGGGTTTTGTTCTTTGAAATCCACATCGTCTATATATTTCTGATTATACAGCAGAAGAAAAGGCTTACTTTACTGTTTCTAAATTCAGCTGCGGCCTTTTGGCAACTTCTTGCAATGCTGTTGTTCTCTCTCATTTCCCTGAGTCCCCTGTGGAGAGCCATGTTTCTGAAGTGCACATTGCAGCCATGGGAATCCTGCTGAAGGAGGGCAAACTGCAGGGCACTTTCTGTTCAGCCTTCATTGGGAGAGAAGAAGGGGTGTGTCTGTTCTCTTGTCTCTCTCTGCTTGTGAAAGTTTCTCCTCATGCATAAGAAATATAACCCAGTCTGCCTGTTTTCAAATTCCAAAGAGTGCTCTGCTCCATAAATACATTGCTCCTGCTCTTCACGACTTAAATCACCAATTAACTCTCTCTCCACAGTTAATTTAGAAAAAAAAAAKTCACTGTAATGAGCTCATAAATTTTAGTAGCAAAGGGGAAGAGCAGTGCAGGACTGAAACACATCAGGGAGAAAAGCATTTTTCTGTCYCTCTGAACTGGCCCTTTGGCTGGGGGCAGAAGGTGTTGTGAGACTAGTCTGCRTTTCCACGCCTTATGCTCACACCTAGGATATCTCGTCTGGCCAAAGACTGACTTCTCAGGCTCTGAATCTTAGACAGTCACTCAAATTGAAACTGCAGCCTGGAATCTGCTGCTGGACATCAAACTTGTTAYTTGCAAAGCTTCACCCCCCTCAGAGTGTCCTTTTGGTGGCAAAGTGTTTGCATTGTTGATCATGGCTATTGTTAGAGGAGATCGCCAAGGGGTGTAACTTCTAAGGGGAGAGCTCCTAAAATCAGCACMAGCTTTAATTCATTGCACTACCAGAGAAATATCCTGCCGGTGTGTTTGCCAGGRTGGGTTTTTCTGATGCATTTGCCAGGAGATGGTTCCCCCTGGGCCTGACAGTTAAACAGTAGTACCCTTAGCCCAGCTCAGAGAGCCTCCTCGGGGCACTGTTTACCAAGAGAGCAGGAGTTCATGGTCTCACCTCTGTTAAACCAAATGCCAGAAAGTTCAGCTCGCAAATCTCCACTTCTTGGAGGCTCTTGGCCAGTCACTGTGAACTTAGTCTCCACCTCTGGCTGGTCCCTCAGAAGTTCTTCCAAATCTCCAAGCCTGGTAAAGGCCTGCTGTGGTGTTTGCAGATTATTCCTGTTTGAAGCATCTCCAGCTTTTCCAGAGCGTTAGAAAATAGGCTTAAGAAATACGAAATATATTTCACATTTTTTAATATGTTTTCCATCTTACTTGCCTTGTGATCTACAGCAATGCCTTACCTTGGGCTCCCATGAAGCACAGCCTTGAATGTTGAATGTTCATTTCCATGTTCTTCTATATATTTTAAAGGAAATGTACCTTTAAACATTTATTCCTAAAACAGGTCAAATACAGTGAGATTAGAATGCCAAGATTATAGGTGGGTTTTTATTTAAACACCATACCTGAAGCCTAAGCATGAAGTGCAACAAAAGTCTGCAAATACTTTTCTTTTGAGTTTTATTCCCTTTCCAGGTGCCTGAAATAGTGATTTGCTGGAAATCTGATGCTTTCTTTCAAATTTTGCTCGCTGAAGCACAACCAAAACAAAACAAAAAACTGCTTGAGAATGCCAAACAGCTTTCTAGTTAGAATTTCTACTGAAATTAAA